GGTTATCCAAATGGGGACCTCAAAAGATGTCCCCGAAAGTAGGGAAATTTCAGATTTTACTACACTTTGGAGACAATTTGGTCCTCAAATGTGATCTATGCAAACCCACACACACACACACAGGTTTGTAATTATATCTTTGTGGGGATTCTCCATTCATTTCTGTGGGAAAAACTCTAATCCCAACATGATGACCTTAACACCTACAGTACCCAGCCCTAACCTTAACTATAGGGTACATGTTCTGGAACACAGGACAGAGGGACGTCAGTCACAAAGAGATACTAGGCCAAAATATAACAAAATATGAGACTTTTGACATTTCCACTTTTTTGATTGCATTCACAAATTTTTTTGGGGACCAGGAAAATGATCCCTACAACATCAAAATAACAGGTTTTTATCACATTGTGGAGGACATTTAATCCTCACATTTTAATATAAACCTAATCCACACATACACACACACACACACACACACACGCAGGCACACACAGATCTGGAAAAAATGTATGTGTATGTATGTATATATGTGTGTGTATGTATTTTTATATGTGTATATAAGGCATTATAAGTAAGTGTTTCTCTGCTAGGTCTGAATGCTGCTTCTCTATATGTGTCCCAGTTGTCTGGGTAACATTAGCCCCATTCTGCTGCCCATTCATCAGTGCATAGTTACTAATCATTCCAATAATAAGTATGTGTGTCTATCTGTATTGACCAGGGGTGTATACCGAGACTCTCAGAATGAGTAATTTAGAATGCTGGGAGATACAATGAGCCATCTAAAGTAAATGGAATATGGCAGTTCTTGTAAATGAAAATGAAATATGGGTTCCTCCTTATTTTCATTTGATAGCTATAAAGGGTCCCTTATTAATTCGCAGATACCTGATCCTGTATACTCAACACGTAGAGTGTTTTCTACAATGTTGACCAGATACTGCAGAGCCAATGGAAAGGTTTGCTCATTAAGAGTTTGACAATGGACATTTAAGATTTAACAAAACATTTCAAGCACTGGAAAAGCAGACATTTGAGAAGCATAATGGGATGCAAAGATGTGCTTAGTTCAGTGTTATATTTCAATGTAATTACTGCAGCCTCTGGTGTTGCACATGCCCATTGCATGTTTTAGAAAAAAAAAACATACTACTGCTTCTCGCATAGTGGCCAAATGTCTGAAAAAGTCAAATCACCATAGAGAAAGAATAAATCTCTAAATGGGAAACCACACACGGTATACACCTTAGACTGCTAGCCAATGGTGTGTGTTCATTTAGGGATTTCTTCTCGATTTATATAATATTACAATTAATAAGCAGCATATAGACGTTAATATGAACATGCACTTAATGTTCTGTGAATGCATGATAAATACATTATGAAGGTGCACTTAATGTAACTTTTTACCATTGTTTGTTATTAATATAAATTAAAGCTGTCATGCCTTATTCATTGAAATAGTTATGAATTCATTGCTTTAAGACAATAAGATATTAATGTTACATGAATGCATTATAAATGCATTATGAAGGTGCATGAATGTTCTATGAATTAATTCTGAAGCTACATTTAATGTAAATTGTTACCAATACGGTGATGATTTTCTCAGTGCTTCAGATTACAGTCAGCTCTATTAGTGTCCTTTTCTTTCACCGGACTCTCCCTAGAATTTTCACATCAATAAATCTATTTCTATACTTCCCATTCCTTGCAGTGGTTGGGTGAACACTACAATTGACCCACTGTGGCTACTTATGAATGTATTCTCTTTTAAGCAGTGGCAATTTTCTCCTCTTAATTAGAGGCCCAAATACGCAGATGGGGGCTTCATTATATTGTTAAATAAATACCCCACTCCATTTTCAGTATAATAACGAAGATAAGCAGTAGATTCTCCCTATGGACTTTCTAGTGGATCCTAAAATCCTGTCCAATGAGACGGTAACCTTGTGAATATTATAGTGCAGACTTGTCATTTTCAAGTTAATATTGTTATTGTTTGATGTCTACTGACTGTATTTCCTGACACAGTGCTGTTAAGCATTATCATCCATGGGTAGGATTATTGTTCTGTGAAAAGAAAAGTATTTCAAAAAGAGTAATAAAACGATAAACACTAACAGTATAGTTAAACACTAACAGTATAGTTCTGAAATAATTTTCCACAGCCAATTTAGACTTATCAGAAAACAAGCAATACAATGGGCTCATACTTTAAAGGCACTGCTTATTTCTTTAATTTTATGCAGCCTATTGAGCTTATGCAGCTTAAATGAAATATATATATATATATATGTATATATGTATGTATATATATATATATATATATATATATATATATACACACAGCATAGCAATGTTGATAGAGAAGGAAAGGTCTCCTAAACTGACAAAAAGACGCAGGCTTTATCTTACCACCAACTTGACCAGTAACTTAGCTAATAACACCATAAGAAACCAACCTCACAATCTGAATGCAAAATAAACAAGATAACTTCTGCTGGCCTGCATTTCATATCTGCATGCAATTTTGTTTTTTCCCCACATATCTGCCTTTTAGTTCTTCACACAAAAATGAGTAGACAGATCATCACACAGCTACTGCAAAATGAAAAAGACCATCGTTCAGTGTAGAGAAAAAGCAAGGCTAAATAAGCCTTACAAGTGTCATTAAAATTTAAGTAAAGCTAATCGTTAATTTTATGGGCAATATAGCTGTCTTCTCCATGGTTCTAATTTATATTCAGTTTAAAAGTGCTGATATTACTATTAATTAGGGGAGAATTTATGATTAGAATCATTTCGAAGTTGTGTCACTATGACAAGTAAGAAATGCCCTGATGTTTATACTAGGGCAGGGAGGTGGTGGGAGGAACTTGGGCTTGGCCAATCCAGTTAAAGGGGCTTAGCCCCCACATACCGGGACCCTTGAACGATAGAGATTGTCAAGTGGATAAAGGGGATGCTGCAGACCTCCAACATAATGCTTCAGACAACATAGTTGGTAAGTAAGAGGAACCACTGAGTGCTGAACATATGTTTACAGAAAACGACAGCAGAACAATATGATCTCATAATAACACTAATGCAAGAATGCCAGTCTACAGGTGAAAGGGGCAAGAAAACCAGGAAGAGGAAACATTTCCCAACATTTATAACCAAAACTCAGGAGTGTTACACTTAGTAGTAACTGGAAATTATGGTTTTCCCCTGCTTAAATGCAAACATTCTCTTGAAAAATGTTAATACAGTGATCCCCGTCTATCACGGAAGCTATGTTCAGACCCATCAGCGATAGGTGAAAATCCACAATATAGAAAGACCATATAAATAAACTTTTTTTTATATATATACACTCACCTAAAGGATTATTAGGAACACCTGTTCAATTTCTCATTAATGCAATTATCTAATCAACCAATCACATGGCAGTTGCTTCAATG